CCCCCTCTAGCGAATGATGATGGATGCCACCCCCCTCTCTAGCTGGTGATGATGGACCGCCCCCCGTTCTTCTGTACGACGAGAAAATGACACGAGCCAGCCTATGAACAGACGCACGAGCCTACTGCAGGTACTTTTGTGCAACCACCACAAAAAACTATTCCACCTCCAACTCTAGTATGAATGTAACGGTTGTACGCAGAAAAAAAAAAAGCCTGTTCAAGTCGAGAGATTTAGTCTAGCCTACTATATAGGCTAGGATGGTACGTATAAGCAACTTGTTGGTTCGACGAAAGTTTCTTCCGCCTACACAGATATTGCAACAACAGCAGTTGCCCCCCCTTTCATTTCGTGCCTTGACTACCGTCTCGATCCTTGACAACCGCGCGTAGCAGGAGCACGCTCACTGGCAAGTGACGAAACATGTGTTTATGCCGTGTGACTCGATCGATGCGCATCGTGGGTCGGTGCACAGACCCCGTACTCTGTAGACTATGCTCGGAGGCGCCGTGCATCGAACGCACGTGTACACAAGTCAGATGTTGGTGTTTGCTGCAGGAAATTGGAAATCTGCCGTGGACGTGGAGGCTGTATAAACAGGAACCTTGTGGTATCTTGTACAGTATCACACAAAGATACGCGCGGACGACCTTCAAATGGTTGTGGCTTTGCTCGCTGACACAATTTTGAAGTTTGAACGAGGCAGGCAGACCGCGTCATGAGAGAAAAAGTTGTGTTTCAATTTGACCTTGTGGTCGTGGGGCTTACTGTGCAAGAAAACAGTACAAAAACAAGCTACAGCTTGAGCACCGCATAATTACGAACCCCTCACGAATCTAGATGGCGGCACTCCGGATATCAGGGCGCTACAAGAAGACCCCTGGCGGCAAAGACAGAGCAAAACGGGTTGACTGCGGAGGTCTGCTGCTGCGTGTGCGTGCTATTAGAACGCTGAATGGACCCAAAAGAGACGCCTATGAACAACGTGGTGTTTTGGTTACCAGAGATGTAGCCACGGCTGCATGCACATTGCGGGCATAGCGCTCGGGTGCGCGGTAAAGCCAGCGAAAATCTCCAAAAGTTATGAAATGCGAATCCCTTCTAGACTACTCTGTACATAATCATACAGCAGTACTCTCCCTTCTTCCCTTCGCTCCTCGACAAGCTTTTGCTTAGACATGGGTTGTAGTGAAGGGGGGGGTCTTTCTGGCGAGCAGGGCTAGACTCACCCTCAAGGGATGACCGAAACCTTCTTGCTGCTGCGCATATCCGCCGCGAGGCATGCGCGTGGTGGTGTAGTTGGGTCGGCACTGATGGGGTCAGGC